TACATTAAAAGTATACCAGCTGAAGTGCCCGCTCTTTGCACGAGTTCATTTATAAGAAAATAAAACATTATTGATATAATAGCTGAATTGTAAGGAGAGTAAAGCCAAGTGCGCGACAATGTTTACAAAAATGTAAAATGATTTTTTTTAAATGATTGCTCAAATTATAATTAGTTTTAAGCGAATTGTAATTTTAAGCCTCACAGAATTAGCATTTATAATTTACGTTATATATAAGTAATGAACAATAATATAAAATTCCGATGAAGAATAATTGTATTATTTTTAATATTTAAAGCGAAAGGCTTTTATCCGGGAACAGGCGCGCACTCGATACGGTCGAGCTGGGTTATTGAGTCACCCCAATCCTTTTTTTTTATATAATTATTTTATTGTACACGATGCAAATCGTGATTCCAGTGAATAATTTAATTAAGAGAAAGTAAAAACTTACCTACTTTCAAGGACTTTTCAATTTTTCTTTGGTAACAAATAAACAGTTTTGCCAGAATTAACTATTTCGTGATCTGTGTGTCCCGCGTGACCACTTCCGGGTAAAAAATGTATCCATTATGTATGTTACTGCTAAAAAACGTTTTTCGTTATGCTTTATATGTTCGGGAATACTCATAAAAATAAGTCTTGGCCAAGTAATCCTTCAAAGTGCTCTCCGTGGTTTTCCAAATATCATAAAACTCTTTTGCATGGAAAAGAGCGCAACAGAAAAATACATTACTTACAACTTCCTTGAATGAGAAACAAACACATATAAGAGAGGGGTCATAATTAACTGTACCAATAACTTAGAAGGTCAAACAGATTATCAGCAAAAACAGATTACAGCTATAATGTGCAGTATTTCAAAAATAATTACAGTGATGAATTTTTTATGTTCCTAAATTTTTTCAATTCTGGGCCTGGGATTTGTTTTTTCTCTGAAAGAGTAGTATGTTAGATTTAAAAAAGAAAACTTAATAAAAAATTTCTCATCATGGGATTATAGCAAATCAAATAAAAGTATTTTATTTGGTTATAGGATCAAAGATAGCTAATTAGGTATTGAATAAGTTTTTATTTTTGAGAGAGAGATGACTTAATATCGCCTATAAATTATATCAGAGTAAAAGTGCATTTTTTATTATGTCTGAAAGTATTTTGATTTAATTCATTCCAGAGTAAATTAATTATTTTTTAAATCTTTTATTTTCGATATGCTCGCGCCCCCCTCGTAAGGGCATCGTGCCCCCCCCAGGGGGGCGCGTCCCACAGTTTGAGAAACACTGCCCTATGGGTTTGTCAGATATAAAATTATATACAACATTTTACCTTATCTTGATATTTGTACGGTTTATACCTAATGCCTTAATTGCCAATAAAAAGTTATGTGAATCGCTCCCCAATACCACCGTTTTCTTCGTAGGCACGCGTATGTGATGTATTGGAGGTGGGGGGCGAAGAAACGGAATAAAAATAAGCAAATTCCTCTGAAATAAGTAAATCCTACACAAACACTGTCAATGTCTATTTATTGCATTCCAAAGCCTTTGGAATAATTTTCTGGGTAGCAGTGCACAGAAAAGATCGTACTTCAGAATCACTATGTATACGTCCGGGGCAAATTTATCTTTGGGTAAGCAAGGCGTTTATAAACGCCGGTGGCACCTAAGAGGTTAAAATAATATTGTACCTTTAGCGTCACAGTATAGTTTTGTTCAGTACATTGGTATTATAAGGAAGGGTGTGCGATGAAAATTATGCTTGAATATTGAATGGCAAATATTGAAAGTTTGAGAAGCACTGTTTTAATCAATTGTGACATAACTCCCAGTTTACAAAATGAATTTCTCTCCAAGTAATGGTCTTGAATCATACCATATAATCAATGAGATTATATATGAACTCTTTTATTTTTTTGAAATAAATCTTTTGATCAAAGTAATGACATTTAATCCGTTTCTACTTCATTTCAAAGAAAGATTTATCAAGATTGCGCTTTCAAATCTTCGCCTTTTAAGCCGACAGAGGTTTCTTTTAATTTGTCTCAGTGAAATAAGACATGTTTTTGACATGTTTTCTTTCGCTAAATCTAATTTACGTCAACAGGATTAGGATTCGGAGATTCTTACATCTTTGCTTTTGCTGAGAAAGGAAGTTAACTGCAACTGCTTTTAATGCGATCAAGTAATTTTTATTTCGTTAAGCCGTTTATGACACGCCAGCCGTATTTCTGCGACTGTCACTTCTTAAAGCTTACTTATTGGAAATGCACACTACACAGAAAATTTTCCAGTTTCTGAGTGTATAAAAAAAGAACAAGCATCAAAAACTACACAATGGAAGAAATTTAAACATTTAAAAAAAAGCACACATTAAAGGGAAAATATTGCAAACGCAACACAGAAACATTACACACTAAAAATATGAAAGAACATTGGAAAGCCGTAAAACTATACATTTAAACACATGAAAAGACATTGAAAATATCAAGCTCTTCAGTAAACCTGTTAAAAATTTTATATAACTTACATAGTGATAAATTATTTCTATTATTACCTCTGAATAACCTATCCTCAAATAAAGAAAAAATTCTCTAACTTCTCGCTCGTACAAAAAAAAGTAATGTTTAAAATATCAACGTGGTAATCATATTATTTTGATGACTATAAAAAAGAACACAAGAAAGTTCTCATGATTTCAAAATCGGAGTATCAAAAATTTTGCATAGATAAGAGGAGGATAAAAAAAAAAAAAATTCTGCAAATATAAATATTTTTCTCTCTGTATATAAAAAAAGTTTTTCGTGATGTTGTAATAAATTTTTGACGTTGTAATAAATTAGTTAAGATAGGCTGCAACAGATGGCGCCAGAATATTTTTAAATGAATTTATTCTTGGCTACGAATACTTTAAAACTACATAATACACGGAAATTACAATTTTGAAATTTCAACGATGAGTATGAACAGTCGTATAGTTTGTACAATGGGAGTTGGTACACCGTTAGTCGGACAGGGTGTACCCTCCCTCCCCCCTAGTTTCTATAAAACAAATAACTCATGAGCTTATTTTGCTATTCTTTTCAAGAATTTCGGTTTAATTTTTGTAATAGGGTCACAAATAAGGCTGCAATATCAAGTTAAATGCATAGACCTAAATATTTCATATATCTTCATGAAAGAAATTCGATTCTTTTTTTTAAACATGATAGCCGAGTGGTCATTTTTTTTTTTGAATTCATATACAACATTGTTCCTGTTGAGTCTTGAGTTCAAGTACTAGTCTCACTCTAGACCAGGGATTCCCAACGTGGTCTATATGGACCCACAGAGGTCTATGACGACCTTCAAGGGGTGCACGTCAGCGAAAAAATAATTTGGGGATCTATGAGGTGTAAATAGATGTCTATGATAGTGGCTCACATTAAAATATATAAATCATAGCTTTTATTTTAAATGTAAATTTAATCAAGGTGAAACCATATTTTTTCTAATTAATAGATTTATTTACTAATTTTAAAGAGGTTAATTTGCAGTTACAAGGTGACAGCATAAATTTTCTTAAAACAAAGATCATGTCAGCAAATTTGACTTTAAAAAGACATACTTGCTATTTATCACAAATTATAGAATATTGTGAGAACAATTTTAATTATTTTTTCTAGTGAGAAGGAGTTTCAGCGTGGTTTCTAATCTCCAAAATAAAAAAATAAAGGGTGAGGAATAACAGCTGGACGCTACTAACCGAGGAGATTTAGGGTTAAAGTTGACAAGGTTGATTTCAAATGTTCAAAAATTGTTATTGAAGCATCAGAGTTATTCTCACTTTAAAGGCATTTGTTTGTTGCTCAGTTATATTATATATTAAGGAAATCTTAATTTAATTAACATGTTTTTCTTAAGTTTTAAACACCATACTTCACTTCAGTTAGAAATTTAAATAGTTTGAAGTAAATAGCT